TTCGTGCTAGTAATAAGCAGGAAAAGTACTTAGAATTCAATCTAATTTTATTGAAACTCGTACTGCCAACACTGGCATACGACAAGCCCCTGCCAGTATAGGGATACTGCTAACCGGTATACTACTAATCCTAAGCTAACTAAGTCTACAGTCCCGCACCAACCATCCCCGAGTCATGCCCGCACGAGAACTAATTACAAGACCATCAAACAACACAGTGTCCTCCCCGGTTCAAGTCTGTAGCCCCTCTGGTATGAAGCCAACCAGCACTAAACATAGCTGAAGCTGAGTAAAAGACCAACTCTACCAGGTTCCTCGTCCAACACATATAAAATCATTACCACCCAATCTTAAAACCATTCTGCGAAGCCTCTACCATAATAGGAAACCAATAAAATACAAACTAACTCTACTGGCGACATAATGGCAGAGAGGAGGCAACCAATATGTCAATCTCTTGCACCTGCATGTTAGGCTATTGACTCAATGAACCCACTTTGCCAGTTGCCTCTGGAGAGTGTACCGGTGAGGAGGACCTGTACCCACTGCCTATCTCTCAAACAGAACAACATAAACATAAGAAATACATAGAGGTGGTGACAGACCGAAAAGGTCAGTGGAGCCTATCTCCCATCCGTAGTGCCTTGCCTCCTACTGCCAAACCCATAACCAAACCAAAGAAACCAAACAAATCCCACAAAATCTAGCACCCAAGACCCAAACAAGTCCAACTAGGAGGTCGCAACCCACTATCCACACAGGTGGCCATCAGCCAACCAGTCTGTCGGAGAGCTTTACAGCACTCAGCAGCTTCGCCCAACAGCCCGGGCTGGACTGGAAACACTTAATTAGACCTTGCCCAACCTGATGAAGGCCTGACTAGTGCTTACAGGTGCCTCTCCCCCTCCAATCAGCCTCTCTCAAGTCCTACACCCCAGATGCCATGGAGCCCATCCAGCCCTCCAGCCCCTCAGACAGATCAACCATCCGATAGCCACAGGACAGCCCATAACTAGCTCTATCAGGCAGCTACTGGTCTTGGCCACACCAATAAAGCCCCAACTCTCAGTACCTTGTAGCTGAGGAGGACCCACCAGCTACAGCCGGGAGCCACTAAGAAGGCAGAACCAATACCTGAAGGTACCGGCACCAGCCAGACCATCTAACCCAGTCGAACCAAAGTTCAACTAAGCCAGGAAAGAGTAGGCAGAGCCAGCCGAAGTAAGCTCCACAGGTCGGGCAACAAGCACAAACTAAACAATGGGCAAGAGGCACCCCCAACTGATGCGATATGAAGGGAGAGGGCGAGGAAACAGGAGCAGACAAACAGAAAGTAGGCCTCACTTGCAATGAGTGAAGCCGCCAACTATAGTCCACAACCGAACCACCCAAATACCTGGACAATGTGAGTGTCTAGTAGTTAATTGTCTCAAACCACCCCAGGCAGCAATGAAAAACTACACCCGGGGGTAAGATTTTTCAGGGTCAAAGTCATCTCCACCGAGGCCAGGAGGAGACACCTGACTGAATTACCATAAATGCCGCAAGGACAAAAACTCCCAGGGAATGGTAATAAACAATACTGTAGGCTTCCAAGTGTAGAAATGAAAATGTAATGAGGAGGGGACTGGTGAGCACCGCCCTGCCATCTGAGGAATGCTGCAGCTGGTATGACGAGTTGATACTTGAGAAGATAATCAGTCTAACCTAAGGGCGTTTTGTATTGTAAGAACTAAGAACTCCATTAAAGCCCAACAAGAAATATGTGCTGGCCCAGAGAACGACACGGGTGATCACTCCAATCACAATATTCAATCCCCCCCAATCGAATGTGAAATCTTGGAGTAAATGATGGACAGGAAGCCAAAGACATTTTACTGAAAGGGGCTGGTAAGCGACAGTAATGAGTAGCTCGAAGTGCCAGTATCATGAGATAACCAGCAGGCAACGAAACGAGAAATAAACAAGTAATCCGCCACACAATACCAATAGACCTCAGTACCAAGAACTCTAGGAACTACTGAGTGAACCCAGATATCTCCCCTAGAATCCAAGGCATCAAGGTCCACCATGGATTTAAAAGACATGCTCGAGGCAAAGCGATAGCAAAAATGAGGAAAAGTACTTAGAACAAAGCGTGAAGAACCTATCTTCCTTAGCCATAGCGGCCTCCTTATATAGTATTCTTCCCCCCCATAGTCATGTGACCCAAAGTGGTCACATGTGTGAAACCAAATCATAACAAACTAGTCATATGACCAAAGTGGTCACATGTTCAAATCCCATGACCTCGTAGCAAGGTTATGTGCGAAAACTGATAAACCAATCATAACACAATAAACGAGTCACATGACCTGAATAAGTTGCATGCGTAAAACCCATGACCTCATAATGAGGTCATGCGCTAAATATAAATTGTATGTGCAAGGCATACCTGCAAGGCATACTTGTAAGGCATACTTGCCAGGTGCATATCCTATGACTCATATTCGAATTATGTACGAAACCTATCAAATCAAATCATATAACTCAAATGTGTCATATGCACAAAACAATAACATACCTATGACTTATAATTATGCATCATGTGAAAATCCTTTCCATGCCAAGCCATATTCATGACACTGCGCTTCAGATGCTGTAGACACTGTAGGTGCAGGCCTAAATCATTGCTGATGTACTTTATAAATTTGTATATTATTTTGAAAGTGATGAGAAATGAGTACAAAATTGATATGCATTAGAGGAGGGACAAAATTGGAAAGAAAATTAAGCTATAAGTACTGAAGCAGAACATCAAGCTAGAGCAGAATAGAGAAATCAAATACGTGAATACTTTTTAACTAATTCACTTAATTAATAAATATTGATTGATAATACAATGATAACAATTAAAGAATAAAGCAGTAAATAATTAAAAATATAATAAAATAAAATTAATAAAGGAATAAATAAAAAATAAAAATAAAAAGAAAAGAAAAGAGAAGTAGAATAAACAAAAAGATAATCAAACTTTCAATTGTGATTAATTTCAATAATATTCTTATCTACATCTTTATTAGAACCAGTCTTAACTCCATTGTCCATTTTCTAATATCTTATGCCTTTACCAAATCTCCGATCCGCTGATGCTTGCAACCGTATCATCATTCTTTCTGTTCGTTTTTGCTTCACTTTACTTTTCTCTTGCTCAATTGCTAACCTCTTATATTCAAGATCCAATTCCTGTCTTTGAAATGTCCCCTGCTACTGTAAGTGCTTACTAAGAAAGTCAAACTTCCTTGCTTCTCCCTCAGATTTTGCAGAAGCCATAATACAAGCTGCATTAATTAGAGTAGTAGATCTACCATTTTTTTCCTTATTTGTTGATCATCTTAAGCCCCTCCCCATACTCGCCTCAGCTTTTAAATCTTTGTTGTTAAGCATTTCTTGAAAGCGGCATCTTTTCAAAATTCTTATCGCTGAGGTAGGAATTTAGCTACTTCTACCTTGATTAGTTGCTTTAATTATATCATATAGTTTAATATTTATATATATATGACTCACCTTTCTTCTTACTTTATCTGTACTCATTCTCTACTTTCTTCTTCTCCACTTCTAATTCTTTTCTCATCTGCCATCATTCCCTCTCCTATTTTCACATTAGATTTTTGTAATCTACTGACATCTTCCATCTCTTGTAGGCTTTCTTTTTGTATTCCTTGTCCAATTTCTACCTCGTCTCTAAATTTCTACTCCTCTTCTTCTATGCTTATCTCATCCAGCCATCCCTCCTCCTCATCATCATTCCTACAATCTACATCTCTCTGTCCACTCCTATTTCTTCCCTTACACTCTCTTTCTTAATTCACCTCTCCTTTTTTACTATTTTCCTTCTTCTCTCCATTTTCCTCCTCTTTTTTATTTGTTTCGTATCTAACTTCATTCATTTCTGCTGTGGTCACTATTACCCTTAAGAGACTTTTCTTGTTATTGCCTCTCCCTTCAGAGAGCCTGAATCATAGATGGCTAGTAGATGTAAATCTGGCTGGTTTTTCAAAATTCTTTACAAGTCAAAGAATTAAGGACATTGTAGCAAGAGTTTTTCTATTAATGTTAGTATTTTATACTTTATTAAATAAATTCCTTTCCACAATTATTTGTTAAAAATAATCAAAATTTCTCCTTTCTTTTTTTTATTATATTGAAAAATAATATTTGATAATGTACATATCTTGCAAACTCCTTCTTTCTTCATCAATATCCAGCTCACTAAGCCTTATCCTAACTGATTATTGAGATTTGCTGCTTTCCTATATGATTTTATAAAGTTATCATACTTGTAGCCGACTTGGATGAAAGGCTTTGTTGTAATTTGAGAGGTAATCTCTATAATCACAGCTTTTTTTGAGACTCTGTATTCTTTTCTTATGTTTTGTAGGATTTCAGGATCCTCTAGCCACTGGATAAGCTGCTCATTCTTGCTTTCAGTCCAAATCAACTGTTGACTGTGGCTTCCTCCTCCTCTGCTACTATTTTGTCCCTGTTCCACCATGGCTGAAATGCTGAAATTGTTGTTCCTATTGTGACAGAACAGGGGATGAAATTGTTTCTCTTACTTTACAACTAAAGCTCTACTTCGCTTAACTTACCTTGTTTTCTGGAGCCTTAAATATATTACATAAAATCCTTGAATACAATTGGTTACTAGTGCTACATACACTAATGCATGCCAATGCACTACTGGGTGTCGATCATTTTACCTTCATCCATCCATTTAACTTTGAAAACCCCTAGTATGATAGTGGAGTGTGATGCTCGAGTTTTCCTATCGGTTGAGACTTTGGGTTACCCGGAGGTCGGCTGAATAAGGGTGCGGCTGGCCGTAGCTGGTCCATAGCATAGAAATTTAGAGAAATTGGCACTCCACAGGTGCGGCATCACCACTTTTCTCTACCCGCAGGGAAAGGAGAAGAGCAAGAACAACAGCGACAACAACAGCAACAACAGTAACGGACACAATGGGAGCCAGCGCGAAACGCAAGAGGGAAAAACATAAAGACTTTCAAAAGCCAAAGTTAAAAGTTGGCAAGGCAAAGGCCAAAGCCGACAACTTTACCAATACATCCTTCAAATCGAAGGGTAGAGTGCTTCCCAATTCCACTGACTCTTCTCACCTCCCTCCCCCCCCCTCGGGAACGCAAAGTTAACACAAACCAGCAATAACCCTCACAACCCAATCCCTGCACACCACTGCTCCGTCAACAACATACCTCTTCGCCCATCACATCTCCCTCCTAACCCATCACAGCGCAACAACCCGGAAAGAATCCCTCTCGTACCTAAAAGCTCATCTCCCCGCTGCTCTGTCCACCACCGCTTCCGGAACTCCCAATGCAATCTCTAACCTCCCGACCACCTCCTCACTGGTCTCCTCCCTCCTCCCACTAATTCTCGACCCCTCCACCTCGGTCCGTGCCCAGCTCCTCGCACTCCTAACCCTCCTCCCACACACACTCTTAACCCTACACACGCGGAAGATCCTGCTCTTCGTGAACTCTGCAATGACGCACATATCCCCCGACATCCGTGTGGACTCTGCCAAATTCCTAGATTGGCTGTTGGGGGCTAGCCGCGAGGAGGTGTTCTCAGCCGGGGGGTGGGGCGTGTGTCTTCGTGGGCTGTGCGGGTGTCTGGGGTTTAATGGCGCTGCGACTGGGAGCGGGAGTGAGGGCAGCAGTTTGATTGTGTCCAAGGTTCAGGATGGGAAGATCACTCTGTCGCATCTGGCTGTCTTGACTAAGGTTTTGGAAGTGGGCTTAGTTGAGCGAGTGGATCTTGAAGGGGAGGTTGGGGTGGGGGATAGAAGGGCGAGGCCGGATGGGTTGCATGTTTCGTATGAAGCGCATAAGTTGCCGAGTCTGTCGAATGTGTATTCTTCTTTAGGGCTGTTTGACACACCGGGTAGTGTTTCTAAGGGGGGGGGGTTGCAGGACCCTGAGCCGGAAGATAGGGACTCGAGGATTAGTTATCTTATCGGTGGGGCCGGAAGGGGGGTGTTTGATTCGCTGGTTCTGGGCTTGGGGAGGTTGAAGAAAGGTGGTGGTGAGATGGGGAGAGCGGCTGGGAAGGCATTGGTTGTTTTGGAGGCTGCGGATGGTGGGGGGGTTGTTGGGCGGTGCCCTGTTGGTAGGTTGTATGATACGGTGCGGTAGTAATGTAAGTCGGACGTGGACCCTTCATTGGGTTGCTGTGTTTTGTAACCTATCTTTCGCGGAGCGGCATGATGTGTTCTCGTCCCCGCTCGTCCATGGAGTCTGGAAGTCTACACCATATGTTTCACTCGACTCTAAAACTATCACATCTTTTTCCTTTCACACTCTTTTCTGTTCTCTTCCTACACTACATACCACAATTGTCTTTTACAAATTCGAGCGTGGGAGCCACTCAGAATAAAGGCCCCCCTCCCGATAATATACACCAACCTGCAGCAAGTGCGTTACCGGCATTCCCACTTCCGAAGCGGTGAAAAAGAAAATGAGAGAGAGGAATAACCCTCGCAATGCCTCCAAGTGCAAGGCATAGCCACTGGAAATAAACAAAGAGGGTCTTTTGGTGTGGCTAGCCCCGTCCCGAGCCACAACCCCACAGCACTGACGGAGAATTTGTCCAAGGTGACTACCTCGACTAGATAGTGCGCACTCTTGCGTGGCGCTGCATCCTTTCTTGGTGTGCTGGATAATTTAGGAGCAAATGGCTCCTATCATCCCAACTCTGAGAGACCCCTTCCTAGAGACGCGGTCCGGTTACGCTCAATGGCATGAGAACAGAGGGGCCATTGAAGTGCGGACGGGTGCTCCGTTCGCCAGGGGTTTCCTCAGTGTGAGGGACTGCTTGGTTCATGCCGCTTCCATCTTTAGCTTGGGATTCCGGCCTTCCAAAGGTAGGGATTCCTTTAACTCTCTCGATCTCTTAAAGCCTGTCAGCACCTAACCCACGCGCGCAATTCTTCTTGTTGGCTGGTGCCCATGAGCTCTTTGCGCCGCACATTTCACCCTTCTATTCACACGGTCTCGGAAAAACCGACCAAGGCTAGATGAATCGTTTTCGGGGTGAGTATCCTGAAGCAGGAATAAAGATTCACAGGAGGGGTTGGGCTGCTTCCCTGTTCTCTGCCGCCGAGTTGGCTGTTGGCTATAGATCGAGTCGGTTCAAACTCCTCTCCCCCCTCCTCCGGTTCTGGATCCGGGTTGGTGACGAACAGGGTGCTAGAGCTAGTGCTATGGCAAGGCGCCTCGAAACCATTCGGAATAGACCTAGGCTCGCGCGCGGGGACGTTGGTGTGGATCCTAGGGTGTGTCCGGAGGTTCACTGGGTGGGGGGGAGGCGAGTGTCAATGATTGGCTTGGGAGAATGAGTGGGGATAGATGCCGAGCCAACCTTTCAGCTGCAGCATTAGTGTGTGGTGAAGATGGCATCTCTTCTGTGGTGATGAAGACTTTGACGGCGGAGGGAACATTTTTTTATAAGTGAGTATATGTTTTACTCCTGGTTTGTATGTGATCATAACTGTAGATGCCACAAACACCCATTCATATTAGCTATCTTTTGGCGGTGAGGGATGGGCAGAGAATCTTACTCAATCACGGTTCTTGTGAAATATAGCTGATGGGGTATGGATAGCATAAAAGTCTCTATTCCCCGAGTTAGCCCCTATTTCCACTATCCTCGTAGCAGGGCGGAGATCGCAAACGTTGACAAGCACTAACAATGTATTCCTACCTTGCGCGATATCTAAGAGAAAAAACAAAAAAGAACTAAAGATATAAGAAGTCTTCCAGAAAGGGAATTTATAACACAATACCCCGAGCAGAAGAGGGTCCATTCCCGAGTGTGAGCGGGTGGGTATACCTCAACGACGTGCCATCGTTGCATAACGAAGGCAAAAGCCAATGGAAAGACAGAATCATATATCATCACTCTCACTAACTGTGCCAAGGTTGTGACTCCGCCACAACCTTGGCACGGTTAGGGGTGGCAAGTACGGTACACTATGCTTGCGTTAGGATCAAACCACACCGAAACACCAAGAAATGGAAGAAAGGGGAGAGGTTCTGTGCCGCATAATATTAACTTGGTTCGTTTGCAACACACATGGGGCCGCCGTGCCAAATATCCATACACACATACTCGAGTACTCGTAAACAGAACTAACTTACACATCACACTACAATAATGACGACCAGAGAATCGTCACCACCACGAAGGACTAATTCCGTGTTATCGGGCTCACGCTGCACCTTCTCTCGTTTCCTTCTACTCGTTTGTTGGCGGTACCAGGCGGCCCCGGGTAACGCTATAGTAACATAGCAAAGTCAAATGGAGAAGAGTCTTTAAATAACATGAATATTTTTGGTGCTTTTGGTTGAATTCCCTCCTCATTGTGCCTTGCTTGTGCCATTTTATCTTATCTAATCTTATACAGGTACAGTACAGTCGTGTCTGAAAAGTCTACGTACCCCTCATGGCAACGGCACTACCACTACAAATAATGATATTGACCACAACAAAAAAAAAAGATATGAGTACAATTTTAAAATAAATAATAGTAGAAATAGAAAAAAACAGTTTTCCAATGCTACCATTTTGTATGGCTTCCATCTGCATCTAATACAGCCTGAAGTCTCTCAGGTATTCTCTGAATCCATCTATCAAATGTCCCCGGGGGAATGAGGTCCCACTCTTCCTTTGCTGCCTGAAATAATTCAGCAGCACTATGGGGCCTTCTCTCAACCTTGAAGAATCGATTTCTGAGTGCTCTTTTGAGAATTGCCTGGGCATTCTCAATGGGATCGAGATCTGGTGAGTTGGGAGGCCAAGTGAATCTTTGATATCCACAGTCCTGTTGCAATTTTTTGTTTTCTGCTCCATTATGCTATGATGTATTATTAGCAGCCATATAGATAGTTTGAGGAGCTCTGTCTGTGGCATCTATGAAGAGGATGAGGTAGGGTTGGTGAATCTCAGTTGCATATTAGTGGGAATTGAGACCAAGTTTGTCTCTTTTGCTGGTTCTTTTCTCCTCTGTGCTCTTTCTTACAAGAATAAGCTCAGTCCTCCCTCCATGAATCATTGCAGCATATACACCTATGTTGGTGTGCCCTGACTTAAAGATAGGCTTTAAGTTCTTTTCTTCCAACTCTTCACCTAGTCTAAGTCTGATCTCTCTTCCAACTGGATTTGAATCATATTTAATTGTGGCTTCATCCACAAAAACCACCTATTTCTAAGCTCGTGTCCAGTTCCTCCTCACTCTAGCAAACTCCTTTCTCTTCTCCTTCAATCATTTTCTCCTAAAAGACTTTTTTCTAGGTATTCTGAGCTTAAATCCTGCTTCTTTAGATATCTTACTAATAGTATCTTTGCCAAGTCCAATATTGGCTTTTTGAGTAATCTATCTTAGGGCTAAATAAGGCTTAGCATCAATAATATCAAGAATTACTTGCCTTTTAGCATCAGTAATCTTGGTTGGTCTGCCAGATCTGGGGGTACCATAGGTGTTTCTATCTCTAGATTTTGCATTTTCGACTACTGTTGAAACAGTTAACTTGGAGAGGTTTATAAGCTTTGAAATTTTACCATATCCCATATCAGTATGTTTATAGAGAGTATAGATTTCCCTTTTCTGGTCTTCTCTGAGGGTTTAGAAGTGTGATAGTGCGATGGTAGGGAGTGATGTTGAGGTGATCATTGGTTGTGGTATGGCTAAGTCGGAGTACGAAGACTTTTCAGACACAACTGTACTTGTCTGTGTATTACCACACAGGTTCATAGAACCTGAATGATATAAAATTAGCGTTCAATTTACATGTTGCTAAGATTTTTACAAGTAAGGGTTACTATCATGATGTAGCACTCTAAAAGGAAATGATTTATTGCCTTTAATTAAATTATGAAACTTCAGAAGAGTCAATATTTTTTGTTATACCAACTTGTAAATTGTTTCTTAGTAACACCTTGATAATGTAGAAATGTGATATATAGAAGAGTGCTACATATAGCTGGCTAGATGTAAAGATATCATTTTTAATGAAATACCAACTGCGGCGATAAAAGTACCTCCGGGATTTGGAATATCCGAGT